GTCGAGGTGTGTGTAAGTTGACTCGAACACCCGTATTATCCAAAAAAAAAAAATAATACATTTAATTAATAACAATATGTGTAAAAAATCAACTAAAAGTTTTAAAAAGAAAATTTTAATTAAGATCATATATACACATTGGCTAGAAAAGTAGTTATTTTTCTAAGAATTTAGAATCTTTTATTAACTACAAAATTAACCAGTAGCTATATAATTATGACATATTAATTCGCAAAGCCCGTCAACATCATTCTAATTTTTCGGTTTGGTAATTACATTCTTCAGTAAAGCTCTTCAAATGAAAAAAAACAAAAAAAACAAAAAAAACTAGACGTTTTGGACTCTTTTTTCTTCCTAATGACGGGACTATAATGCGAGGGTAATTCTCTTTTTATTATATATTACGAGTGTAGTGGAATTTTATCTCATATTTATTTATATGATACACCTAGCTACTCTTCAGTCTCCATCCTTATAATCTCTCTTATTTTTTCAGAAATTTGAACATGAGATCTCTTATTAAAAACTTTACCATTTTATTAGTTGGACTATTCCTTATACTTATGTTTGAATTTTTTGAGAATGAATATTTGAATCTTAAATATTCTTAACGCTGCTTCTATCGAGTGACGGATTTATGTTACCCAACCACTCATCGTTGAAGCCATTCAATGTATCTGTAACAAAACACAAGTGGGATCTTAAATAGTGTTGGGTAATTTTTTTTTTTTTTTATATATTCTTGTGATTGTATTTGATTCACCAAGATGATGTATCAACCTTAGAGAGTAATTAGTTAGTCTCTCTATTCTCAAAAAATAAATTAATTAGTCATTTTATTTAAAAAATTAATTATTTAATATTTTAATTGATATTGATCACGTTTAATTCAATATTATTTTATTTAAATAAAGTTATTTTTATCTATTCTTTTATATTTTTTACTTATTTTTTTCTATTTCTATTTCTATATCCATAACATTAAATTTGAAAAAAAATTAAAATATAAAAAATAAACAACTAGTTTTTGAAGTAAAAAAAACTGTTTATAAAAACTAAAAGCATTAATTTATAATTTATTCTATCCTTAGAGGTACCTACTACATTTAATTATATGCGACTGGGTCGGAACTTTTGATATTTCAAAAGTACGATGACGAGGCTGCTACTTATACCTCGTCGGTGATACGGTAATTACCAAATGCAAAGAATCATAAATGAAGTTTCAAAGGAATTGAAGTCGTACCCCCTAGCTACTAGCTCACCGAATTGAATGAAGTGTCTTTGATGTGATTGATATATTTACTGACAACGCATCCACCAAATTCCTGTTATAATTAATGTTGATTTTTCACTTGGGAATTTAATTAGGTTTTTTCTACATCCCACAATTTTTCTCATGCAAGATAATGTATTTCATGCAACATATCCCATGCACCAATTAATCATTAATTAATCTCAATTGATTAATCTGATAGTTAAGGAGACATTTTTTCTTAAATTTAAACCATTAAGATTAATATCTAGTATAATTTATTAATTAAATTTATCTATGTGCAATATATTGATATGAAAATGTACTATTAAAATTACGTGAAAAAAATTAATTTTTATTGACTTGTAAAATGATCCAATAATATTTTTATAATTGAATGAAAAAAATAATCCTTAATTTGAATGATTACAAAGGCTTTCAAATTTGCTTGGTACTCTTCAAGAGTAATACTTTGAGTATTTTAAAACATATATAAGCCATAATCCTTTAAAAACCATATTTTTTAAAAAATCTATGGAAATTTGTGATTATTCATATGGGTGCACACGTACGTAAAAGCCTACTAATATACATAGAAATAATGATCGAAGCACATTGATTTGAATTGCCACGACATACATATATTTGTCAAAGATAATGCATGCATGCATGCATCCATATATATATATTGAATTTTTCATATCTATATGTGCGAATTGTAGCTCGCTCTGTATCAACTAACTACGAAAGTCCAATTTTGAGGCTGGAGCAATTGTAAGCTGCTGATCCATCGCTAAACCAAACAAGTATATATGGTAGTTAGTTGTTGCTATCCCCATCATCCAGCCTCCCCTCTCCACGGTAGATACGGGTTGGCCACTCAACCAAACAACCAACCAATAATCTAGTTTCCCCAACAGAATATATATAGTCCGCCATTCTTTTGCCCTTCCTTCCTTACTTCCACGACATCAGAAAGCGGTGAGGTGATAGGAAAAGTTTTATAATACTCAAGACGTTAATAATGATATATAACTTTTCACTAAGAGTGGGACCCATGTGTCGAAAAATTAACCTGTCAGACAGTGCCACATCAGGCGAGGACCCAATATTTTCTGGCACTCCTGAAGTTTGAAGTCCCGTGCCGATAACTGATCAGACAAGAATCAAGTGGGCTACACGCTCCAGAGGTGAAAGTGGGTTCTGCAGTTTAAGTGTTAGGAACAAGCAGCAATGAGTCAAAAGCAGAAAATAGATAGAGATTGTTAGTTGGCCGTACCATCAGCTCTGTAGAATTAACTGTTGAGCACCTTCGTTCCTCCCTTCACAAAACCCCTCAGAAAATAATCCGTAGATAAAGAACAAACCAAAAGAACCAATCAGATTCTGATAAGACAAATCCAAAATACAAAAAGATACACTAAAATGATAATACTAAAACGCTGTAAGGAGCTAAAACTATTCACCTAAAATAAATAAATGAATAATAAAAAGTTGGTTGGGATTTCCCTCATTTTCCTTCCTTCCTTCCTTCCGTCCTTCCTTTCTTCTAGTTATTCGCAATGTGCAACTATTGCCTCACGGTTTCCTTGAAGAAACTCTTAAAACAGCAAATACCCTTTCCCTCTCTCTCGTCGCTGTATAATAAGCGACTGTTCATTGTGTTCAACTACCATTTTAGTTATTCAAAAACTAGGTAGAGAGAATGCTCTATTTTTGTATAAGGAAGTGTTTTTAGCTTAAAAAAAAAAACAGTTGAAGAATAAAAAGACGTACAAGCTGGTGATTATATTATATCTCTAGTAATATAACCCAGAAAAGAATCACTGTTCATTTGTTGAATCGATTCAAAGGCTTTCTAGTCTCCAAGGTCAAGTTCTTTCATTCTGCGTCAGGTTATAGATCTTCTGGAAGCACAGAAACTTCTTACTAGTTTCATACTTACGGCCATTCTGGTTAGTTTCCACTAACTCTCACTCTTATTTCCATTCTTTTAGCTAAAACCAGTCTACGGTTTGTGTTCATGTTCTCTCTTTTTAAGATTTCTGGGGTTTGAATCTTTCCAACATCCCTTTCAAATTCTAAAACATCCTCTCCCTCTCTCTCTTTTCCAGATTTCTAGCTATTCAGAGATTATTTATTTATTTATTTAATGTTAGAAACAATGCTGATTTTAATGCACCATGTGGTACTTTCACCACCTTTTGATGATAAAAACTTTCACTTTTTTTTTTTTTAAAATATTAAAGCTTTCACTGCAGTACTTGAATTTTGTTGTCATTTTTCGGGGTACTGCTTGTAAAAAAGATCTTATCTTTTTGGGTCCTTTTTCTTTCTCTGTTGAATAGAGGGATTTATTTTTCCTCGTCTCAACAAAAAAAATTAAAAATTGGTCATAAATTTGGCTAATTTGAGAACCTAGAGATTAATGATACAGCCTGAGCTTCTCGCGGATATTAGGTAACCATAAGCTAGTGATTGCAAGGGGAAATCGCTATTATTAAAGAGTAGGAAATAGATGTGCAATGTGAATTTTGCCTAATTGTAGCGAGTGCAGTTGCAACAATAATGGGCTGTCACTGCAAAATTTTAAGTTTTCTTTATGTTGATGGAAACCATTGCTTTAGCTATGCACAAGAAGTTCTGATATTGTGAAGAGTAAAAAGAAGTTTTTTTATGCAACCAGTAACCAAAGATTTATTCAACGAAATTCAAGTCCTTATCATTCGGAGGTTTTTTTTTTTTTTTTAACAAATTTGTTACATATTGCTCATCCCATCCACTCACAGATCTTTTGTTTGTTTCTCTTTTGTGAGCGGTCCTTGGATTTTTGCCAATGTTTTGCTTACTGAGGTCCTCTTCAAACTGTATTTTCTATAATCTATCTTCTTTATTCAACAAAAGTGTTAGACATTGCTCATCTCATCCACTCAGTTCTTTTGTTTGTTTCTCTTTTTTTGAGTGTTCCTTGGATTTTGCCAATGTTTTGCTAGCTGAGGTCCTCCGCAAATTATATTTTCTATCAAATTAGTTACATCTGGAGGTAGTTAGATGCTCATATTTTTATCTGGACAGGTGGTCCTTTAAATAGTTCCTTGGTTGCACCTGTTATTCATGTTTTGATTGGAATGGTTTAACTTTGTCTAGAAGATGATTTCTATATTCCCCAAGCTGGAAGAAGTGGAATCATTCATTATGGAGTTGTTTGGGCGGTTAGTCCTAGGTTTTGCTTCACTTTCTGCTCGCATAAAACATCAGTAACAGAAATAAATAAAACCAGAGTTGCAGTTAGATTTTCGTAGGACTAGTTTGTACTCTACTCTGCACCTTTTAACTTGCGAATATTAATTTAAGGAATGAGAGCAAGTGTCTTTGGTGGAATGCTATTATATATTGAGATAGTGTTCAATGACTCATGGATGCTGATTTTTGTGTTATTTTACTGCTATTTATGGCACAGGTCTATTCTTCCTTCTTGTAAATTGAGTCATCAATCGATATAATACCAGTATAATGTAGGTCTTAGAGGTTAGCCCAGCTGAATCCAACTCAAACAGAAGTGATTTCCTAAGTGTCTACAAGTCAAGTTTCCATCTCTGCCGCTTTATTGCATTCTGTCGGAATTCAGTTGAATGTGAATTGAGGTTCAAGAAGACACGCCTTCCAAGTTTCCCATGTTGTTGAAGGGCTGTTGCTTACACGTTTGCCAGTAAAATATAATTGGCCTTCCAGATTTTTATTGAAAATGGAGATCAAGGAATCAGAGAGGGTGGTTATAGCTAAACCAGTAGCTTCCAGGCCTAGTTGCTCCACTTTTAGGTCTTTCTCAGAGTTGCTTGCGGGTGCCATCAATGCTTCACCCTCTAATGTCTGTTCTGAAACGGCGGTTGCTGCTATTAGACCAAAAACAGTGAGGTTCAGGCCAATGGTGTATCGTGCTCCAGATGCATTGTTTTCTTCACAGGTGATCACTTAGCTCTTCTGAATGCCCCTTTCCGTTATGAATTCTTGCCTTCTGAACTTCATGTTCTTGGATATTTTCAGGCTGAACTCTCTGGAATAGCAGCTAGCAATTCATCTAATAAAGTTTCAAGTACTGATAGCAAAGCCACTATCATATATAAACCACAGGCAAAGCTTGTGTCGAAGGCAACTGTTTCTCTACTGGCGAATATGGTCAGTAGCAAAATTCTACCCATTTTTAACTTCTGCCATGGTAGTCTAGCAACTGCTGGTTGTACTGCTTTTTTCAGACGCTGATGCAAGATTTTCTTTTGACCAGGGGAACTTCAATACTACTTCACAACAAATGTTACAATCCGTTGAGGCTCATCCTCAGAGTCCAAAACATGATAAACACAGTTTCTCATCCCAACTTACCTCAAATCTTCTTCAGAATATTCCACCCCATGCGGAAGCAGACCAGACAACTGCACCATTAAGTTTAACATCTCAGAATCAGGAGGAATTGAAAACTTTATCACATGCATCTAATGGGGACCGACCTTCATATGATGGTTATAATTGGAGGAAATATGGACAAAAGCAAGTAAAAGGAAGTGAATATCCACGGAGTTATTACAAGTGCACCTATCCAAATTGTCCGGTGAAGAAGAAGGTCGAAAGATCATTTGACGGACAGATTGCAGAAATTGTCTACAAAGGGGAACACAACCATTCAAAGCCTCAGCCTCCTAAGCGCAACTCATCAGGAACGCAAGGACTAGGAGCTGTATCTGACAGCAATGCTCAAGATAGGAACTCCACCCCATTATGGAGTAATCAACTCAATGAAAGGAATGAAGGCTCTGAAGCTAGAGAACAAAATCAGATCGAAAGTGGATTACCAGTGCATTCAATTTATCAGGGTCAAGCTCCACCGTCTTATGATCCTGCTGGAAACGGATCAATTAATGCTGGTGCGGGAACTTCTGATAACTCATGTGGTGTTAGCGGGGAATGTGATGATGGAAGCAAGGGATTGGAGGGAGACGATGATGAACCTAGAAGTAAAAGAAGGTAAGAGATAAACTACTCATGACTAGATTTGAAAATCAGCAACTATAGTCGTTATCATTCAAAAGAAAATACTTCACTTTCACTGGGTTGCTTTGCGCTAAATTGAATCATTGAGAGGAATAATCCAAGTTGGTTTATGCAAACTTATCTTTGCTTCTTCCTCCCACTCTTCTCCCCCTTACCTCACTACATGAATTCAATAAGCTTTTGCCATGGCCTGATGCCCTTTTAATTTTACTATATGCATCAGCCTTGAAATTATTCTCTTCATTCTTATGATCTATTTTACTTTTTCTTTTAGGAAAACTGAGATACAATCCAATGAAGGTGGCATGCCAGGGGAGGGAGTAGGAGTACAGGAGCCACGTGTAGTAGTGCAAAGTTCCACAGATTCTGAGATTTTGGGGGATGGTTTTCGCTGGAGAAAATATGGGCAGAAGATTGTGAAGGGGAATCCATATCCAAGGTTGAGACCTTATGACTTGTTGCATGCTGATTTTCCTCTCCTCTGATTCAATGTTTAATACTGCCTACAAAAACCCCTTGAAGACAAAAAGTTTTTGGTTGTTTTTGCAATATTTAATCAATCCCACTCATATTTGCAACATTATGATTAGATTTAGGTACCTGGTATCATTGCTACAGTTAGATTGTTTCTATCTGATTAGTCCCCACCTAATCTCTTTGAATTGAGGATAGCACATTATCCTCACGTTTTCTAGTGTATCCGCGGACTCGTTGAAATTTTCCGGTGTGATACTTTCTTTCTTTCCTTGAATTTAGCTCACAGCACATTAAAATCCGTTGCAGGAGTTACTATAGATGCACCAGTCTGAAATGCAATGTTCGCAAGCATGTGGAAAGAGTATCAGATGATCCAAGAGCTTTTATTACAACATACGAAGGAAAACACAACCATGAGATGCCTCTCAAGAGCCCAAATATAGCAGCAGCCTTTGATCCCGATTCATAGGCACCTACTTAGTAGAGACAAGCTGTGATCTCAACCATGGAAGAAGACGATTTCGAACTTGATGCTTGTTCTGGCTCATCGGATATCAGAAAGAGTACAAGGGCTCCGGAAGCTAAATAACACGGGCAGTCGACAATCAAAAACAAAAAACAAAGCAGTTTCAGTTCTGGAGGCTTCTTCATGATGTCAGTTTTGTGTTGGTAACAAGAATTAGGGAAACGGGCTGTCTCCTTTTCATTTCATCTTTTCTCTTTGCTGCCTATCTTAAGCTTCATTATGAATACATCAACTTAAGATTAAACTTTTCAGAACGAAGTTTATAACAATTTTCAGGCGCATAAATATTTTGATACATAAATAAATGGTAGCTGCTCTTTACACTCACTACGTAAATAGATGGCTTATGACTCCATCAAAATGATTGCATTATGGTGGCATCGCATGTAATTCAGCATTACAGCTCCTGCTAAGTGTCTTTCCAATCAACTTCAGCAGTTTGAACTTGCATGTTGCAATTAATCTCTACATTAACTCTCATAACTTTCGCGGTCCTATTATATTCGCAAACTGCAATTAATCATTACATGCAGACTCTTGAGAAATTTTATAATAGTCCTGGAGAAATTTTATATTATATCATAAATAACGGGTGAGATGTACGACAATTATTTTATAACGAGTTATAAAAAAAAGGAGACAAACAGGAGAGAGAAAAAAAATTAAACGGATTGAAAAATTTTTTTATCATTTTTTATAGATATAAATGTAATTTTTTTTTTTTTATCTATCTCTCTTACTCAAAGTGAATATATGAAATAATTATTATACATACCAGCTAATTACTCACGATGTATTATAAAGTTTCTCCAAGACCCTACTGTTGGACCCTGCATAAATATCGTGTATGCATGGGATGTAATGGTGAGCCGGACTGGTACCGTAACTTCTTCTTCTTCCTGGTTTTTTTTTTTAATGTTTTGAGTCAAGATTGAAGATGAAATGATCAACTAAACCTCAAAAGATTATGCAGTTGTAGTATTGGATTATACGGTTGGTCTTATACGCAAACAACCAAAGAAATGTTGGTGCCAAGGAAGTATTAAAAGAAAAAACTCTTTAAGGGAAAAAGGAGCGAAGGAACTGATTGTTTTGATTAGCAATTGCTGCCTAAATTAGTGTCCGTGATTTTCACGCAAATTAAAGCTGCCGGCCTAGTCTTCTTCAGAAAGTGATATAATAGGTGGTTGTCACGTATTAAGACGTGCCAATCTTACATTTTGAATCACCATTTCTTCTTTTCTTTTCTCGTTTTTCGTTTTCGTACACTATTATTATTATTTTTTTTCTAATAAAGAGACATTATATAACTTAAAAGATTAGGTTGAGTAAAAGAAATTCTAATATTTTAGATAAATAATTTTATATTTAAATTCTTTTGTATACAAAAAATTCTTTTGATAATTATATTCACTTTATACATTCGGTTTAAAAATAAAATATTACTCTAGATTTTTAGATTTGAGATATTTTAAAAATTCAAAAAAAAAAAACACTATAAAATGTCTTTTTGTTCATAAATATTAAAAAACCTTCAATTATGTCGGAACAACTATGCTCTACTCTTTTTCTTTTAGTTTTCCTCTTTCCGAAGTATTAATTGGGATTTCATTCGTTACTTATTAGTGAAATTTAATTATACATAGATTGAGGTGACTTTTATTATTTTATAACTAATTAAATTATATATGGTTAGAAACTTACAGTAAAATGTAACTTTCATTGAATCGGGTAGTATGCAGAAAATTAATTTCAAGATACATACCTGCCACAAAACCCAAAAAGACAATGTACGTAGACAAGTCTAATGTGTGTTGAAAATTGAGGAATTTCTCTCTCTTTTTTCTCAAAAAAACAAGGGAAAAAAAAGAGAGAAAGGCAAGACCATTATGATGGAGTCAGCAATTGAAACAAAATGGCGGGTTCTGTGAAGCCGTTAGCGGCCAGCTATTGTAATAAAGTGGGACACCCTTTCTACTAAGCAGAAGATAATATAGCATGCATGTGATCCACCATAGGCTTCACAAAACTTCTCATCAAAACCGTCCATTTGATTGACTTTCTCTCACCGTCCCTGATAGATCTGAAAGGAAACAAAAGGAATATTCGTAATCGTGGGACCCGTGATCAGCAGGCCGTGACAGAAAACGCTACCGTTTCGTTACAAGCTGGCCCAAATAAGACCGTTTCCTCCAATCACCAAATTTGAAAAAGAAAATTTTAAAAAGAAAAGAGCATGTAAATTAGGAAGGAAAGAGAGAGGAGAGAGTGCTGGTTGGCTGCTCTTTCATGTTTCTGTAACTTCTCTCTCTCTCTCTCTCTCTCTCTCTCTATATCATCAACGTTCGTGGCCACTGTGTATCAATCAGTAAAGACGCTTGAATTATCTTAATTACTGTTTCTTACTTTATATATAGAGTGATAGATTTTAGAGAGGTAGCAATCGCTCAAAGGAATGGGATGGATACCATGTTCTGGTATATCAAGGGGGACTACAAAGAAAAAGAAAAACAACAAGAAGAAAAATATGGTGATCGTGAACCAGAAACCACTTGATCAGACCAAATCCAATTCAGGTTTGTCTTTAAATTTGTATTTCTGGTGATATTTACTTGAGTTATGCATGTTGAGTCAGCAGAGATTTCAATAAAGAGTGACACTTTCTTGTAATTCTGAATATACTTGGATTTGATGGTGATGTCATTTGATTGTCTTTGTTTATTAAATTTTTTTTGTCTTTCCTTATCTGGGTGTCTTCTGAATTGATCAGAAATTTTGTGTTTTTGTTTTGTGCAAAGTCAAAATGTTTTTGGTGATTTCATTGGTAGATTGACTGTTCATTTGTTTGTTCAATAACGGTAGTTTGTGTCGTAGCAGAAATTTCTATTCATGTTTTTAGGGTTTTAGTTTTTCATTCTAAAGAGTTTGCTTTGTTTTTAATTGGAAGTATTCCTAGCTAACACACTAAACTACTGAAGCTTAATGATAACTTTTAGGCTGCTCTTAAAAGTTTAACTTGTTTTAGTAATCACTAATTCTCTATCCTTCTTTATGTTTTTCCTTGCCTGTGAAGCGCTATGGTTTCATGTAGCTTCACATCTGCATTCTAAGTGAACTTGATTTCATTTTAGATCACAAATTATATTTATAATGGTGAGTTCCATTGTGAGGATGAGTAGGTCCTAAGATTGTTTGCTGTTGCCTTGTGGATAGGAATGGTAATACTTATAAAGTTGTTTTCTTTGGATCATTATAAGAATTCAGTTGCTTCTTGGTGTTTGTTTCTCTCAATATGTGTTTGCTTTTGAGTTGTTGATTTGGTTTCCTCCATTGGTGGAAACCCTAATTTGACTTTCCAAATCATTTATTGTCTTCATCTTTTTCCCCTTTATTTGTGTTTGCAGAGAGATCGAGGAAAGATTACCCTTTGCATGTTAAGGAGGTTTCTAAGAATGGAGGGTCTGATAGCATTACAGCACAGACTTTTACATTCCGTGAATTGGCAACTGCAACTAAAAATTTTAGAGCGGAATGTCTTTTAGGTGAGGGAGGTTTTGGAAGAGTCTATAAAGGGTATTTGGAAACCACTGATCAGGTTGGCTAACTTCATACTTTCCATAGAGAATGAGTCTGATTTCCAAGCAGCATTTGTAACTCTTGCATATGCTAATCTGCTGCTAATTTCATGGTTCTTTTTTTTTCTTCTGAACTAATTTTTGGATCAAACACATGCACAATTCTGCTAAAAGCTTCGCATGTGAAATTATGAATATTAACTTGTTAAAAATATAGGGCTTCTATCATGAATACGAAGTGTATGGTGAAGGATGAATCTCTCTCTCTCTCTCTCTTTTGGTGTAGGTCGTGGCCATCAAGCAACTTAATCGTAATGGTTTGCAAGGGAACAGGGAGTTCCTAGTTGAAGTTTTGATGTTAAGTCTACTTCACCATCCTAACCTTGTTAATCTGATTGGTTATTGTGCTGACGGAGATCAAAGGCTTTTGGTTTATGAATACATGCCTCTAGGATCTTTAGAGGACCATCTACATGGTATATACATAATGTTAACTTCATGCTCTTTATTGGCATCTACTTTTTAATTTGGCTCTTGGGCTGAATTGAATCTTTTGCAGAAGTTTCACCTGGTAAGAAACGACTTGATTGGAACACAAGAATGAAAATAGCTGCTGGGGCAGCGAAAGGATTGGAGCACTTGCATGATAAAGCTAGCCCACCAGTTATATATCGTGATTTGAAATGCTCCAACATTTTGCTTGGTGAAGGTTATCATCCCAAGCTATCAGATTTTGGCTTGGCTAAACTGGGGCCTGTTGGGGATAACACCCATGTATCTACCAGAGTCATGGGCACCTATGGATACTGTGCACCAGAATATGCAATGACTGGTCAACTAACTCTGAAATCAGATGTTTATAGCTTTGGGGTTGTTCTACTGGAAATCATTACAGGGCGGAAGGCAATTGACAATTCAAAATCTACAGCAGAGCAGAATCTGGTTGCTTGGGTACGGAATCCTTAACTTTATCATTTTGTTATTGTTGGAGAATAAGTTTTGAGAGACTGCTTGGTTTTGTTGAGATCTATGATGTCAACCCTTACATTTTCCTGCTATTATGATTTCATCAGTCTGCATAATCAGTCTCAAGTTCATGGGAGGTTGGTATAAGGTTTTATAGATGATTTGTTCATTTAAGAGGGTGTTCAATCACTGACTGTAGTCAATAAAATAAAATCAGTATATGCTATGTACAAAGTCTAGGGAAATCAGACGTGTGATCGGATTACTTCCCCTGAATGGGAGTATGATGGTGGGTCGCTACTCATCCAACTGTCATTTATGCCAGCCTCAATGAAAACCAACCAGAGACAGGCCGTGGTGCTAATTTTATGAGTTAGACTAGGTAAAATAGAAAGAGAGTTACTAACATACAAGGCATCCCATCTTAATCTAAAAGCTTGAGGCTTGAGCTAATGGCCTGCATGTTCACCAAGTGTATATGACTTGCTTCACATTTCTCTAATTGTGCGACAGTGGTCTGTGGTATGTGGCTACGAAAGCCATATGTTAATATTTTTGTCATAGAAAAATGGTTATATCAGTGCAAAATTGCAAATGAACTTTGACTTTAGCCTGTCAGCACATGTATAATCTTACACTATTTTTTCTATAATTTCAATCAGATGTTGATTCGTTTTTCATTGAATTTGTGGTGGATGACAGATGAATACAATGCTTTAAATGTTTTGATACGATTCGTTTTTCATTGAATTTGTGGTGGATGACAGATGAATACAATGCTTTAAATGTTTTGATACTAATGACGGCTCTGATTGAGGATAAGGGCAGTATCAAAATCTGCAGTTATCCTGTGTCCGTAATTATCTAAAAGCACCTCATAAAAAAAGACGACTCTACTTGCAGTAAACAAATGTTCACTGAAACTACTGACTATTTTGACTGTGAAGTCCTCAAATTTTTTATTCAGGATCACACCCTTTGTAATTCGCTTACTCCCCCTTGATAATCCAGTTTACTTATCATTGATGAGAATTGTGTAAAGGTGGTGATTTGCAGCTTGATTATGCATATTTGATCTTTCACTATTATTACAGGCAAGACCTTTGTTCAAAGACAGAAAAAAATTCTCAGACATGGCTGATCCAATGCTCCAAGGTCAGTATCCTCCAAGGGGCTTGTACCAAGCTCTTGCTGTTGCAGCAATGTGTGTTCAAGAGCAGCCTAATATGCGCCCTGTCATAGCTGATGTTGTCACAGCTCTGACTTACCTTGCTTCACAAAAGTATGACCCTGATGCAGAGACAGGCCAGAGATCCCGCTTGGCCCCTGCCACTCCTCCTAGAACAAAGAGGGGTGGTAAAATTCAATGGTAGAGAGAAATCTAACAAGGAAATTTACGTTGCTTTATCCCTGTGTGCAAGTAACTGAGATTTACAGTTCCAAGCGAACTCCTTTCCCGACTTGCTTCCTAGGAAAGTCTTGAAAGAAATTGATGGATGCCAAATGGATTGCATTGTGATTAAGTAGTTTCCTTTTGAATCTATGTGGATTACAAGGCTCTGGAGTTCCATCGTCAGCTCATATCTCATTCTTGCCTTCCTATCAAGTTTTGTATCATTCTAGACCAGCACGTTTCCCTACTCCAGTTATTATCAGCTGATATTGGAACCTGGGTTGTTGTAATCCTATAAATATATCTGGCAGTTGTCTTTCCTGCTTTCTAATGACTATGCTTTATAAGCACCTGGTGCGGGGGGCTTCTGTTTGTGGTGATTTTATAGTCGTGCGGTGTATTTGACCAGTACAGAAACCCTGTAAGATATCAGTTTCAAGCACGATGGCTTTGGAATATTGGACTGATATGCTCATGGAAGTGGTGATCTTGTATTTTCTTTTTAAATCCTTATCTTCACGACATGATCGCAGAATATTGAATTTTATTTCTAAATACTTCCTTTTATGCCATGATAACAGATGATGGACATTTGTCAGGTACTCAAAACTCTTTTATGTCATATTGTTTATCAATCTTCTTGTAGTTCTGAAAAAAGGAACAAATTTAGATGTTGAAGGGCAGGATGGGATTCGGCAACTATTAGCAATTGATTCAAATGATGCTCATTAGCATCGCAAACAATAAGATCTGGCCTTCCCTCTCTCCTATTATTTTGTAAACTATTTCCTTTCTTTTGGTAATATGATCCTATACGGTAAGATTTAAGTCATCTAAACCAATGGTCAAATAAAATAAAAAGGATGGAAAGTCAAGAAAGGTAAAATTGCTGGATTCGCTTTTAAACTTGATTCCCAAATTTTATCTGCTGATTAACGACTCCAAAAAATGTTAATGACCTTGTACAATTGTACAGCATCCTTACGCAAAATATGGATACTTTTTCGCGCCCAAGGACCATCACATGTGGCATCCCACGTGGCGTCTGTAGGTCCATTACCTTATGTATGTTTAAAAACATGTCATAAAGCAAAACACATCCACCAGGACCAGCCAACTCTGGCCTATAATTCATCATGAGAGGGCAAAGAATGGTATAATTATTTTGATTTAACACTGATGCAGATACAAGGCTCCTTTACTCGTAACTATCAGTCTATGCATAATTACAGATACAAATCAGTGAGTTCTTGAGCAACAGGTGCCAAATTGCCGAGAATGAATGGTGTAAAAGTCATCCCCTAATTCCCTCCTACTTCTCCACTAGGTTGTTTCTATCTTACTACGAAGTGCTTGAATTTTTTCTCTCCTTGCTAGATATACCGTTGCCAGAATCATCATTAGTCGGTTTGTCTTTGTCCTGCCACAGAAATTTTATAAATGTTAAGTTGTCAGGTTGAAAACAATCACGAGGCATTGTGGCTTGAATTCAATTAACGGGATTTACCAATTGGAAATTCTTAGAACATATAAAATGACCTAGCAAGGGGGCAATGAGGTTGCTAAGTTACACTGCAGTTGATGGTCCAAAATTGTGGAGAAAACTCGTCTTTTGCATATTTGACCATAGAAATTATATTAGTGAATGCTTATAAGAAGATTCAACCTTCTCTCCACATAATTAGAGATTTTTATTTTATTTTTATTTTTTGTTACAAAGGAGAGACTCGAACTCGAGACCACTTGATAGGAGGGGGGACAATTATGCCAGTTACAGTCATGAGAAATCAGGTTTGTATCGTTTATGTACAAAACTTACCTTGTTCCTGTCGAGCCAGCCTAGGCCAAATAGGCCTGTCCTTCTTCTGGGACTTTCCACAGAGGAGCTCACTGACCTACAAATAAATTGGAAAAAAAAAATGCAGCTCACGATAAGAGCACACATGGAGGTGCACCCGTTATTCCCCCGTGTGCCAAAGGGATATATTTGCATGTGAAGAAATCTGGGAGCTAAAAGCATGGCTTGATAAATCAATGGATTTCATGGCACTCGGAAAGTGCTCATGAAGTGCAGTGGAAAACCTCAAAATGATAAAAATTGCAAGATGCATTACTGCTGCATGCCACACACGAAGGTTTAAAGCCCAACAGGCAACCTGACTCTGATTCATAGGGCCTTTCGAGAATTGTTAGGATGTTTCCTTTTTATGTTGTGATTGACAGTTGGCTACATTTGTTAAAAGGAGCATCATGAAAATTTATTAGATCTTATCCATGAGGAATAACTATTAATGAGAAACATAGATAATGTCCAAAAAGATTTCTCATGTACCTTGGTGAAGATAGTACCCTGGCTTGGCCAGACTGGTACTGTATTGTAGCCTCCAGCGTTGATTCAGCCATGACCACTCTCTGTTCCATCTGAGCAAGTGAATTCATAGCCTTCTCATATTTTTCCTGTGCGCATAACTTTATTGTGAATAGATATAGTTGTGCAGTTCAAAGACAGAAAGTGAAATATTATGCTGAGTTCTTGGATCTATAACAATGTTGGTAAGGAGAGAAAAATGAAACAAACTCCCGGATAAAAATTCCAGCTATCTCATCATATAGCTCTTTTTTTTCCCACAGAAATGGGTGACAGAGTTTAAAACAACTGGATGAAGGACCAGATAGATTTTATGCCAAATTATCTGGAGAATGAAATTAATTTCAAGCTCTGACCTATGTTCAAGACTTCCTACTATGAATTTAATCCTTAATTACAAAAATTGTGTTTGACACGACTATCTTTTTAATCAAGCTAAGTGATCAATTGAAGAACATTATCAAAGAATAAAACCATAACCATGACCAAGATCAAGATAGCGAAATTAAAAACTCCTTGATAGAAAAAATGCCTCTCCCTATCATTAGCTTTTTGATAAGATCTATTTCATTCTGAGAGGATTAGGAGAGGGCATGTCTCTATATTCTAGAAGTTTAACTCGGAAAATAAAATAGGTATTTTCTCAAAACCCAACAAACAATTCAGTATTCTTTATTTCTGTAAATGTAAATCTACAGTCTATTGTAATCTTGTATAACAATAACCTGAAGCACATTTACTGCATATCTTTGCGCAGCTGCATCTTGCTCAGCACCTATTCGAGCTTCTTCAGTTATCCTCTGTTCTTGCTCCACCCGCATCAGGACCTACAGATAATTTGAACAATCTATATATTATAAATGAGTTCCTAATATTATATAGAATAGGAATCTTGTTTCCATAAATACATGATAGAGTATATATATTTACTCACATGATAGTGCATATATAGTTACTAAAAAAAAAAAAATAGAAATCATGAAAAAAATATTAGGAAATATTAACCTTAAGCATTGCGGCTTCTTGTTCTTTCTTATCGGAAAGGATTTGCCTTAGATCAGCTACCTCTTGCTCCAACAGCTCAACCTGCAGTGGAAAAAAAATAAAAATAAAAAAATCACAACCAAGTTAAGTGGCTTGAAGCTCAAGAATGGAGAGCAGAATTTTTGTACTTTGTGACCAGCTGCCAGCTTGAGAACAAACACGAGGATTCTTTATGGAGGTGGATCTTTTAATGAATTCAATTCATTTCTTCGTTTCTTTCTTATTCATACATATAAAGAACATTTATATAGGCTTCTCATTTATCAGCTTTGGATCAATCAATCAATAAAGTAATTACCAAATTTAAGTCTTAAGCATTAGAGCTCCATGAATACAAAAGGTTAATCAATGTAGTTTACCCTCAGAGAGGAAAATATGATACCAAATTGAGGGTATCAAACTACGCAAGTCTAGAAAATCTGTGTAAACAATTTTGATCAGAGGGAGGGAAGTGCTTTGCATAGATACCAGAACATGTATTTGCGTTGTGATGTATTCAGAAGCAATAGTGGTTGTTTGAATCAACTTCGAATATACCTTTGCACTCAATTGCCGTCGATTATCTTGTTGGACCATCTCCATCAGTGCTGTCTCAAGCTCCTCAGCCCTGGAAAAGAAAAGAAATAACACAAATAACTAATGAGTTTTCCCACTACCCCATACAAATCGTCAAATAAATGAGGCCACTAAGCAAAAGAAATTCTCCTTTTAAGAGTAAATCCTTCCTTTGAAACTTATTCCCCCCTTATGATTATTATTAATGCTTGCCAAGAGAATCAGTAGGCCATAATGAAGCAAATGATAGATACAGTCAGGGACTTAGATGGGGAAAATGACTTATCGGAAATAAATGTAAAAAGAAACACATGATTGCACTAAAAAGAGAAATACAAGCAAGAAGGCTGAACGCCACAATTGACGTAAATGGTCACATAATATGCAGAATAGAACAAACGAGCTTGAAGCTAAATGGTACTTTTATAAAAAAGAAAAAAAGAACTACAGAATAGAAGAGGCAAGTAAACCATGAGATTCTCACAGGGCATAGGCTCCTAGCTTGTGCACCTCGTTTTTTTAGTGCTGTCTTCATCAAATATGATGCAGGGAACAAGTACAAATGCATCCAAAAGGTTGCAAAAACTAGAAAGCACTAACCTGAGTATGGCAGATCTTTTCTCCTCCAGCAACCTGCACAACTCAACCTTGAGCCAAACCACCTGCACAAAAGCTGTTAATTGCTGAAATTTAAATGAGAGGGAGATAAATTGCATGAATTTCCCAAATAGTCACAAGTAACGTTATTAAATTGCCTCAAATAACTTTTGCAAATATAATTGGAAACTTAATCAGGAATAACTTGAATTAGGGAAAGCACAAAAATTATCAGCTATCACAGGAATAGAAATTCAGCAAATAAAGCAGCACAAAAGGGTGGTATCAGTGAATCTTCAAACATAGATCTAGCATCAGGTGGATGACTTTCATAAAACTTAGCAAAGCAGCACCAAAGTGCAAACAAGGAAGAAAGAGAAAAATTACCTGTTCTTGAAGATCTGGCAAAGAATCTACTTCTGAGTCAACATTTAAGCCACTAAGCAAATCATCCAGACTAGAGGAGTGAGACTCCAATAATGACTTGTCTCCCTCGCTTACTTGTTTTTCTTCTACCAGTGATCCAGGATCATGGTTAAAACTGTACAACTTAGATGCAAGGCCTTTCGAATCCTTCCAAAATCTTGCCCCTTTTGATCTTTCCTCAACCACTACAAGCACAGCTGGTCTATGCTTTTCTCTCAACTGTAGTAATCTAGCTTCAGTTACTGCCAAATAACCCATGCAAGCAGTCAAAACAAGCTGGCTGCTATCAAATGTTGACCCTGCAAGGGATTGTAATAAAGTAATTGCATCCCCAGCATCTTTAGTTGTAACTAATGCAGGACCTGCAAGAAATTGCATGGCTTGGAATCATATTGTCTTAAATACTCTCAAAAGATCACTGATTCACAATTTAACAAAATTTAAAACTTAGCAAACAGTAAATAAATGAAACATGTTCTCATAGTGTGTCTGTGTGCATTAAAGTACCATATAACTCCATTAAAGCAAGAGCTGTTCGAAACAGCATTACACGATTTCCTTCAAAAAGAAGAACATCCCAAACTCGGAGAACTGGAAAATGAGGAACAACAAAGATTCAAGTCAATCTGAAACAAGAGAATAAAGAAAAACTAGAGCACGACAAAAAAATAAAAAATAAAATCTCAGTTTAAAATATGTAATGCAATACGAAACCACCCAAGCTCACCACTTTCCCAGGGAAGCATATTGATGAAAATGGAGAGGAACCAGGGTCCAGAGATCCATGCCACCTGCACTCCCAAGTAATCCAGATGATTAACTGCACCAGAAGCATAAATGAAATGAAAGAACCATCCATACTGCTTACTGGTATTTGGTAATGCAATGCAGATGCTTTTGTAAAAGTGTGTTTGGATTGAAAAAACATCAAATTGATGCATTTTCAGGTGCATTTGGATGGTTTTGTCATGCTGATGTTAGTGGTCGAAACCACAATACTAGAATTTAACATCAGCATGTCAAAACCATCCGAAAGCACCTGTTTTTTTTTTTTTTTTTTTTTTTATGTTTTTTCAGCCCAAACGCACTTTAGAAAGCACTTTCAAATGCAGTGCAAACGCATTACCAAACACACTCTTAATGTAAGAACAAAACAACAATACTTATCAAAATAACAGCTGCTAAAAAATGGACTGACCCAATTTAGGAAATTTTTCACGTATCAACTCCTCAAAAACAAGTTGGTCCACCTAATGAAACAAAGAATTTATTTAATCAATATTAAACTACCGAAAGAACCCCATTTGAATAGTGGATCTATCAGAATCCAATGATCAAAATATATGCTAAAGAAAAAACAAGAAGTAATTGCCGCTAAGGAAATCTAGATGAATCTCACCTGAGATTCTACCATTTCTTCTGTATAGTAGCCATCAAAATAGTCATCAAGAATGCCCACCAAAGTCCTGAGAAGTTCCACAAAACAAACCAATCCATAAAACTAACTTGGCTACAGTTAGCTTGTGTGTCAATTTGCTTCATGGATGCACATGTAGATTAATGGAGAAAACTTATAAAGTAAAAAGAAATGAAAAAACTTTTTAAGTCCATTCCAAACGAGAAGGGTAAAAAAAGAAATTTGGGTCCCAAAGACAAAGCCAGCAATTTAAATTTCATTATTCAAATGTTTTATTAAATAATTACCCCCATTAAAGCAATAAATGAAAGAGATGAGCTATTCAAACCTACCAAAATGCATTTTCTTCCGGCATCAGAAGGAGCAACAAGCCAGCAAAGAAATTCATTGCCTGCAAATGTTTTCATACCAAGGTAAAGAATAAAAGCGATCATACCAGTCTGGATTATATAAATAGAAGCCTATCACATTGGTAGCGTATAACGAGGAGAATAAACTGCAGAAATATACAGATAACAGGCAACCAAATTAACAGATTTTGATGCCATAGTTCTTGCTGAAACGTTCTAATAATATAGCAGTTGGCAATCCAAATCAAGAAACCAGTTTTCCCCTTGTTTTTGGCCTAAGAGGAGGGTACCATTAAAAATGGCAGCAGTTAAAGTCGAAATTAGATGGTAATCAATATATAAAGATTGTACAAGGATTAGGGATAAATTAATAAGATGGCCAGTGCAAACACATGGTTAGCCAATACAGTTAATTTGGAAAAATCAGATCCTGATGTGTTCAAAGAACTTCAAATTCATCTATTTTGAGGAAAAAAATGACTTCTTTCTTTAATACAATAACGATAAGCTTTAATATCTTTAAACTTGGAACAAATCAGATCCTGATGTGTTCAAAGAACTTCAAATTCACCTATTTTGAGGAAAACAAATGACTTATTTCTTTAATACAACAAAGATAAGCTTTAATATCTTTAAACTTCGACCATTAGATATAAGCATTTATGAGTTTTGATGCCTCACTCTGCAGGCGATTGCCATTAATGGTTTGATTGCAGGAGTTCAGAATTCTTGGTATTGATTTTTTAGGTACTGACCTTCAATTACTTAAAATTATAACACTATTGTTCTATGCTTACATAATTTCTAGAAACTAAGGAAAATAATAAACACTGAACTGGTTATAAAAAATGAAGGGATAATGGCATTTGTAGTATCTTTCTTTTTTTCTATTTGAGAATCTGTATTGATATTTTTTTTTTCTATTGGAGTACTCATACTCACAAATTTTGATCAATCAAGTCAGTTTTGTTATTGAAATACTGATGTGCCAGTTAACTCTTCATCCAGTGGACCTAAGTTGATATTATTTTAATATTTTCTATTTTTTTAATAAGTACTTGTAATTTATGATTTTTTTTTATTTGAGTAACCATATTGATTTTTTTTTCTATTTGAGTATTTGAGTACTTGTAATCATAAAATTTGATCAATTAAGTACTTTCCTAAACTTCTATTACAAATCAGCTGACATGTTAGTTATCACCAATGCAAATGGGTCTTAAGTGTCTGAAATATGCATGATTTTGTCATTTTTCAATATTTTCGATTTCTTATCAAGAAATTAAAACAATAAAATTAAAAAAACAAAAATTAAAAAGAAAATCAATAAAACTAATTAATTAATTAATTAGGTGAGTTTACATTTTTCTCACTCGTTACTTAGGATTTAATTTAAGGTAACAATAAAAGTTTAAACCCTAACTAATGAGTAACATAAATATAAACTTACTTGATAAATTAATTAATTAGGTAGTTTTATTAGTTTTCAGTTTCAGTTTTTGTTATTTTTTTTTTAAATCATTATAGGCACTTAAATTAAAAAAAAAAGTAAATAGATTTATATGTCCTTAAATAATTGAACAAGTATTCAATATGTCTCTATATTTTTAATTATCTCAATTATATAATTGTATAATATATAATTCTCTAATATGTCCTATTAAGTTTTTCCATCCAAATTGATAGACTTATATTTTTCATTCCAAAAATACCCTTGATTTATATACGGATATAATAGAAAAAATTTTCAAAATTTTTTAAGAATTAAAAAAAAATTCAAAATTAATCAACCATTAAATTTTAGGAACATAAATTTTACTTTATTATTATTTTTCTTTTTTGAAAAAATAAAATTATATTCTTATATAGCTCAAAGGCATTCAAAATTAAAATAATAATAATAATCTCAATTTAGTTGGAAAATTTAGTCAAAATAATATATTAGAGAACTGGATATTACACGAAAACATAATAGATACAATTAAACACAAAGACATTTTGGACATTTTTATAATTATATAAGGATAGAATGAGTTCTTTATTCTAGAAAAAATCATGAATACTTCATATCCCATTTATCTATTTCAATTTCTAACACCCAACCCATTTGACAGATACAAAATTGTCATATTAGCATATTTGTAATAAAAACTAACAGAGTTACTTGATGGATCAAATTTAGTGAGTACAATAGAAACAATTATAAAGCACAAGTACTTCATATGCCCTTATGCCTAAAAAAATGAATAATATTAAAATAATATCAACCTGGCCCACCTAATAGAGAGTTAACTACACGTCAATATCCCAATAACAAAACTAACTGAGGTACTTGATTAATCACTCCATGAGTACAAATACTCCAATAGAAAAAAAAAATAGTACGGGTATTCAAATAGAAAAAAATGAAAGAGTACAGGTACTTGAAATCCCATTATCCCAAAAAATAGCAGAAAAAAATGACAAATAAAAAGGAAGAAACTGAAGGCTGGAGAGAGAATAAGGAGAGAAAGAAAAAATAACAAGGGCAATCGAATAACTATGACCAGCAGAACTGTCTTGAAAGTTGGTTAGCATAATGGAGTTTAGGATTTGACTTTGTTCTGTAAACTCATAAGAAAAATGTCTACACAATTTTGAGTCCAAATAGAAAAGCTTGGAGCTAATAAATCAAAGAATTAATTGGATCATTAGAATTAAAAAAGAAGGCTTGGTCTGGATCTTAATTACCTGACAATATCCCACTGAGGGGTTATGTCGAGCATATGCTAAAAGAACACGCCTCAAGGAATCCCTGCCATGCTCATCCAAAGCAGGATGACCTGGGAAAGTTCGTGGTATGTCCTGTAAAGTAAACACAAAAATCATTCTAGGGAGAAAACTGGATTGCAATCCAACGCAAAAGAAGTAGCACCTACAAAGTTAAAAGATTGAACCATAAAGTCCAAGGCGCATGCATCTAATGACCTTCTCAATCTGCTTTTTCCATTTTCTGGGTGCAGCATTGGAGTTATTGTGTTCCTTGCTTTCGTCTGTATTAGTTTCTTCAGCAAGCAGCCCCTCATAATATCTCTCCACTCGACGTGTCTTCACACCGACAAAGGCTTGCCACACCTATAATATCAGGATTATACATGGAAGAATTTATTTATTATTATTATTATTATTTTTTTTTAAGGAGTTAAAAAGCCAACTCAACAGTGTCAGATTTACCTCTCCCCTAAGATCCTTTGGAACTCCCCCACGGACAAGGAACTCAAGCTCTTTCCAAGAAAAGAATAGTTCTGGGGACACCACACTATCCACAATGCTTTCTTCCGTTGATTCATCAACATTGTCATCTGAAGTCTTCTTAATGCAGAAATCGTCATCAACTTTCACCCCAGAATAACCTCCCGAAGATCCTGTCTTTTTTACTGATGGAAGATGGGCTCCGTTTAATGTATTATGCGCGTCTTTCATATCCTTTATGTTCTTAACACGTGAACTCATCATCTTCTCAATAACATGAAGGGATGGTCTGGTCCAAGACCATGATTGAACCTTTTTGGCCTTTTTTTCTTTTAAAAGCTGCTCATCCTTGTCAGATTCTTTTGAAAGCTGCGCCTCCTTCTCGGATTCCTCTGAAAATTGCTCCTCCTTCTCTGGTTTATCTGAAAGTTGCACTTCCTTCTCTGGTTCCTCTGAAAGTTGCACCTCCTTCTCAGGTTTCTCTGAAAGTTGGACCTCATTCTCAGGATAACATTCGGTTGAACGATCAGAATCTGAATTCTCGTCACTCCAATCATCCCCCTCCCTGCCCCTTTCTGAAATAGTCTCTTCCCTCAACTCATCAGCCTCAGCCTGCAATCTCTGTCTATGTTCCTCCTTGGAGGAGCTAGATTGATCAGATTTTGCTTGCTGTTCAAGGAAGTTGCTCCATTTATCAGACCTTTCTTCTTCCTCCTCCTGATATCATGAAAGTATTACTACGTTGGAGTGAAAACACCTTTTAACTCTCTTTACTTTCATAATTGCTTTGGCTGTCGTATGCTCAGCACTCAAATGATACTTAGTGACACAAATTCAGCAAAATAAGAATCGAAGAAACATTTGACCATAAAACATGAGGACAGCATAAATATTCCATATCCTCAAATTAGTAATGAGAAATTAATTTCTCTTTACACCAGGAAAACTATTCAGCAATAATTTCTGACAGAAATAAGAAAGCAATTGCAACTATCTAATACCATTTACTTTCAAAACATATTATTTTATCTATTCTTGATACAAAGGTCAATGATTCTAAAATGATCCACACAAACTACTAACACAAAACATCTTGATTTCAGAACATATCTTAATATGTGACTGCCATACCTTGTAGATAGTAGCGTACTCTCTATATCTTTGTATGTGTTGAGGTCTTAAAGCAAATCCATAGCCGTCCCTGTTGACATCAACAACAATTTCTTCATTCTCAAATGCCCCCACAACAGTCATCGAAAATCCCCATTTCGAAGGGAGAAAAAAACACTGAATGCGAACGAATCTTTAAGAAAAATGACGCAGCATATTGCCAAAACAAAAAATTCAAACACAAATAGAAGAAACCTTAAATGTTATGGAATTGAACTTGCCTGGATTCAACCTCCAACGTACGCCTACTCAACAAGGACAACAACATCCTTCACACATATAATTCCAATTCTACTGCCCATAGCTCTCTCTTTTCATTTACAAGTACCAGTTTCACAATTTTACACCTCACATAATAATTTCCACATATCACCCTCGCAATTTCTTGAAAAACCAACTAGGCATTTCATTCACAATCGTTTAAAACGTCCAAAATTAAAAAGAAAAAAAAAATCAATCTAGACTGCTATAGGCATGCAACATTGTCAGCTACGAAATTCACCAAAAAAAAAAAAAAATAGAAAACAGAGTTCACAAAACATAAAACATAAAATCAGAACATATGAAAGAATTTTGAGAGAAAGATAAGCACCAAATGACACGTGCAAAAAAAAAAAAAGGAGTTAGTTGTACTACTACCTTCTGTGTTCGATGGTGTGGAGGAGATTAAAGGTCTTCTCCGTCATCTTAGGATTGTTCGACAAATCAAATTTGATTTCTTTGATAATCAATATTTTGTTGTCAAGAACTAAGGATGTTTCTCCTTGATTTTCTCTTCCTCTCCTGCTGTTGGCTGATTGCCTTGGGTCTGGTGTGCTCGTTATAAAATCGATTCTCGTGTTGCGTTTGCTTAGGCGGGCAAAAGGACGTGGATGGTGAATCAATCATCACTGCACTCAACAATACCATCACCCAAGTGGTTTGACTTTGACCCCTTTCTTTGCACATACGGCGACATCTCGTTTGTTCCTGCTGCTGATGTCTCTCTTTTATTGCCCGTCGGATTTATGTTTTTATTTATTCCTAAAAAAATATATTTATCTAATCCAAATTTTTAATATTATATTTTCTTAAAATACTCATTAAAAAAAAAAAACTAAACTAAACTAAAACCATTGATTATTATTTACTGCATAATTTGAAATACTATTCACCCGGACTCATTTCATTGTTCACTCGGGCTTATATGTACTATTTCTTTTACTATGTAATAGTATTTTTATAGTTTTTAAATATTTTTAGGACATTTATTATAAAATTTTTCGTGACATTACACATTGCTTCCTCTTTTTTAAATATTATTTTTTAATTCGTATATATTTTTTATTTAATTTTGGTCATACTTTTTTATTTCATTTTGGTTACTTTAGTCGTTACTTTTTTCTCTCGATTTTTTTAATTAAAAATTTTAAATAAAAAAAACTATTTAGAAAAAAATTTACAAAATAAGTTTTTAACTAAAAATGGAGATAGAGATAAATAAATAATATTTTTTTAATAAAAATTTATGAAAATATAAAAAATAATTAGTCAAATACAAATTTTTGATTAAAAAATTATAAAATTAAATGAAATTTTATTCATATTTGATTTGATATATTTTAAAAGATGCACAATATAATACTGTACATCAAAATTTAAAAAAAAATTAAATAATTTTATATATTTTGTCCGACCCACGGTATAGCACAAGTAAAAAAACTAATATTTTCCAATATCCCGAGTGCATGTTTTGAATTCGAGGGTTAAGAGTTGAATTCAAAGGTTAGATTATAATACTAAAAGAGTTATATATCAAAGTGAAAATAGTATACAAGTTTGAGGATCAATTTGAAAAAAATACAAGTTTAGAAATTGCGGCTTTTCATGTTCTAATTAGAATGTGCGGTTTGACTCAAATTGGATACCGACGATATCGGGTTCAAAGCCCTTGTTTTCAAACCGCATGTTTGGTTCGAAAGTTGGCTTTTTTATTTTTTATTTTTTGTCCAAAAAAATAGTGGCTTTTGAAAGATGTATTGAATCTCCCTTGTCGGTTAATGTTCACTCAACACCATAAATACAAGCCATTTTCTTGTTTGAAAACAACCTTTTTCTTTCACTTTGTTTTAGCAAAAATCAAATCAAGTTTTTTGAGATTTTCTTTTAGAAGAGTCTTGTATTGCTATCAAATTGACTCTTGGTGTGTTTGTTTTAAATCTAATAATAGTTATTTTATTTATTTTTGGATCCTTTAAGGTATCTCAAACTTAAAAACCTAAATTAATTCCTTACTTGTTTTGTCGAGCGTACAAAACATGGATAACTACCTAAAGAGTTTTTTGCATAGACAAAAGCTGGAATCGAAACCACTTATTTAAACAATTAAAGCATCTTTCATTCAAGCCAACCCTCTTAAGTATATTAACTACTTTAATAGTGGTGGCAAACAACACTTTAAAGATAGTTAATTTTCACATTGTAAAGAAACATATTGAACATCAATTCTCTCAAAACACAAATTCCATCTTTCTCGTTGTTTTAAGATACATTTCAATTATATGAATATAATTTTAAACTATTATTTGTTGATGGAATTGATAACAATGAACGAGAATAAAATGAATGAAGACTATTTCAATTATAAAGGTTTTAAGAAGCGAAGAAGAATATGATGTTTACTCGAAATTTATAAAGGTTTGATCCAACACATTTTCAATAGAGGTTTTTGGAATATTATTTGAAAGTTTAAAACAATAACATGGTGTTAGGTATGCTATAATTTTTTTATTGATCATGTTATGATAGTCATAATAAAACTTTAAAGCTCAACACAATGAAAATGAAAACATTGATCACTCGTGGATTTTAACAAAACAACTAAAAGAAGAGGAGAAAATGAACATTAATTTTCATTATTCACCTCCTCACAAAACACTATGGACGCATTGTAGATAAAAATGATATTTTTATGATTTTTAACCTTTTTTTAACATTCATATTTGAATTTTAAATTACATTTTTTGGTCTCCGAAGGTTTAAAATAAATTTTTTTTGTCCACTAAGCTGCTACACACTCAACTCGCGACTTGCATTGACCACGCTTCTATAGGCCCAAAATGCACGGGCCTTCCACTTCTTTTTTTCCTTTACTTTTTTCACCAATTTATGTTTTTTAATTATTATTTAATTAAGTGTGAAATTATAAAAAATCAATCATTGTTTTTTTTTTAACATAAATTGACGATTATATAATATATACGATATATTTTAAAATTTTACAATGAATATGTATATTGGATTATATTACTTTTATTATTTTAAGTTAACCTCTTCAATTTGTTGTTTCTTATAAAATTGTCATCAAATTAATTTTTTTAATTCTATTTTATGTAATTTTATTGTTAATAAATATGATTTTTTTTTTATGTAAGAGTTTTTTAATAAGTTTTTTTTTGTAGTTATTTTTATTTGCTTATTCTTTATATAATAAAATTTTAAATAAAATTCATGTATTTTATTTACTTATTCTTTATAGAATTAAATTTTATTGAAATGAATTTTGTAGTTTTTTTATCCCACGCTATTAACATCAATATATTAGAGTCACTAATTTTATTAAAAATTAAGTATACATCTACATACATAAAATCAATCATTTGCTATTATTTTTTTAATATTTTTAAAATAATTTATTTCAAATAAAATAATTGAAATAATTTTTTTAGAAGAACTGCCTAATAATTCAAATATAATTTTTTATACTAATATTATTCATTATTTTATATATAAATATATATACAAATCAAATGTACATATTTTCAAAAAAAAAAAATATTCTTCTCATCGAGTTTCAAACAAGAATAAAAAATATTTCTTCATTAATTTTTATATTAATTGTTGTTTTATTTCTTCGATGCAATGCTATAAAAAAATATTAAAATATTTTTTAAAATTTATATTTAGATTATTATATTTATCTAAGAATAAATGCATACAAAAGAACGGATCGTTTTTTTCTAACTACAAAATTTATTAAAAACATAAACACAAAAAATTAGATACAAAATTTTGATTAAAAGATATATAATTAGATGAAATTTTACCTTTTATTTTTAATTTAATATATTTTAGCTTATCGATAATATAATATGTGTTATCAATCTAAAAAAAATGTGTTTAGTTTAGTCTACAACGTAGTGTAGAAAATCGACTAGGTTTAAGCTAACTAAGTCGAGCCCGTTCTCATCTTGCATTCTTGATTTATGATTATTTACGATAGACCGTATGCATTGATTATTTCTTCATTAAGAAAAAGGCATTTTGAGTGTCCATTTTTTATTATCATTCTAGTTGAGTATCTAACTTTTAATTTTATCAAGTGTCTAAATTTGGTTTTTTTTTTTTATTTGAATTTCATCAATCATCGAATATTGAAAAATGCTACCATATTCAAAATGCATTACCAAAAATAAATCTTATTTGGATTTATTTAAGAAAAAAAATTTTAAAAAGGAAAAACTAAGCAAAATTGTTAACTAAACTGGCCTAACTTCTCTCATATAAGAAACTAACCCAACTTATCTCATATACAAAAACTAAGCCAACGAACTTGTAAATACTTTCACCAACTAAAAGAGAGAGAACAAAAAGTTTAAAGAACACTGAAACAAAACTTAAAGAAACCCAAAAACCTTAAGTTGATAAATGGAATGAGACTTTTGAGATAAATCAAAAGGTTGTCATCATTGGGTATTATACATATACTAAACAATAGGACAAGGTGCCGAGTGCATAATCTTAGCCGACTCACGACGGAAAGACAACCCACGTCAAACGACCACTATGTAGTGGTATATGACCACCAATCACTTTATTATATTGCTGCTTCTAGTGGTCAACTATTGAAGAGGACTTAGAAAAATTCTTTAAACAAAAGTTGGTAAATTTTACTAGCGAGTTTGATATTAAACTTTTCTACCCAACTCACATTGTAGTGAGGCCTTATCCAAAGGACTATGTGAGTCATAAGTTTAAATTTTTCAATGGAAAACAAAGAGATGCCAAAAAGCATCTTATGAAGTTTGTAGAGACCTTGAGTGTTT